AAGAAACCAGCAACATCCACGTGAGCCAATAAAGAGGGAGACAGCCCAAGCTAACAGTCAAGGCCATTGGTAACCCACGTCTAGGCAGGGTGGTCTAGGGTGTGCCCACCTGCTCAGGGATAAAGGCTTACGAGGGCCCTTGGAGGTCACTGATCTTGGCCTAATGTCTCACAGATCCAGTTTTACATCCCATCTTCTCTACCACCGTGCCCATGGGTGTGTCTCTGAACCTCACATCAGTTTCCCACAAGTAGACTGGGCAGAATCCCTCCTGAATTGGCCCGGGAGTCAAGCGGATGGCAGAGCTTCTCTCATTCTATCAACTATGCATGGACACTGCTCCATGTCCTTGGGGGACAGGGGACAGCAGACTACCCTGCATCATTTGTTAATCTCAGTCAATCACATCGTGATATAAATGAGCCCCTTGTGAGCGTGGGCTCAGAAAACTATTTATGCATAAAACCTCCTTCTCATCACCTCGTCCTCACCGAAGGAAATTTCATCATGTGAATTCTCTTCTTAATGAGGGTCCTAAACAGAGTTGTCGTCATAGTATCTGCCTTATAGGAAGCAAGGGCTGCTTTCAAAAAGATCCCACTTAAGGGGGCAGGAGAACAAATAAGCCAGATTATTCCAATGCGTCCCTTGACATGACAATTTGTATGACAGCACCAAGTTGATATTGTTCCAAATATCATCCCATCAACTCAGGCTACGTGAGTGAATTCCTTGAGGAAGGGTAATTACTGTATCAGAAGCAGGTGAAGTTCTCCTCGGGGCAACTTTTTTCTCCCGAGAATAGTTCCTTTCACAATTATGTTCTCTACTAGGAATCTATTATACGATCTAGTTTTTCCTCTGAAGACATCATTAATCATCTGGTGGAAATGTAACTACAATTGAAAATACAAGATGTTTTGTTGCTTGACAATTGTCAAGCTCAAAACTGTAAAGGCTCAGTGCCCAGCACCTCCTTAAAGTACTGCTGCCGATTCACTCCTCACCTTTCTACTAAGGATTGTGACATTCTCTTCATCATTTCTTTTTAAAATGATGATATCGGAGCCTCTCACATTGTTCTGGTCCCAGTGCCTGGCTTTGCTGAAGCATCTTGTGTCCAGTTTATATTCTAGCCACACGTCCGGGGAGAAAACTTGTGAGAAAAAAAGACTCTTCCAAAACCCGATGGAGTGGCCTAGTGTCTTTGTAATGGCAAGACATTTGGACTAGGAGTCAGTATGCCTGGGTTCGAGCTTTGGCTCTGACCTTGAACAAATCACTTCCACACCTGGGCTCCTGTTTCCTTCCTCATACTATGAAGCAGGTGGACCAGGCACTTTTAAAACTTCATTTCTTACCTTTGGAGTTACCTCCTCCCCAGCAACGCCCTAACGGCCAGCCCAGGGAGACCGTTGCAATTAGCTCAACATGTGAAGTTACGTTTTTGAAAAGTTTGAAGCAACTCCTCGATACAGCAAAACTAACAAGGCGAAAGCAGTAAGAGAAGTAACTCCCGTGATGAAGGCCACACTCAGAGTCACACGAGGATGAAGCCAAATACAAACTCGCCACCGTGAGAAGAGAGAAACCTCAACGGTGGCTGGTTTCACTTCTCAGCTTAATCTGGTCCTCTGGGGCTGAGATGGTCATCAGCACTCGGAGGGACTTCTGTGGAGGGGCAAGGATGGACTTGGAGGACAAGAAGCAGGCAAGCAGACTGGCACATGTGGACCAGGCTTGGAGGAGCTCCTCCTGGGCAGTCCAGTGGTGGCTCCAGGTTTAGCACATACTTTCATTTTTCATCCAGGGGTGGCTCTGAATTGGGGAAACGTGGTTCCCAAGTTCAGGGCACAGCATTCAAGAGCATGCTGGGGGATGAGAGGGCATTGAGCCCAGAGAATGGCTCCTTCAGCTTACCGATTTCAGCCAGGAGAAGGTTAGGTTTCCCCGCTATGGCCTCCAGCCCAATGGGGCAGCCAAGTCACCAACAGCAGGGTGCTCCATGCATACTTGGCCCAGGAAGAGCCTCCCTGACTACATGGCTCCTGGGTTGGGTAAGGCTTGGTCACTGTGTTCAGTGCACAGAGTTAATAGAAACCACTGCCCTCATTGCAAGCTGCTCAGGAACCCAGGCAAGACTTTCAATCCCTTGTAGCTTCAGTTTCCTTTCTGTCCAGTGAGAAGGCAGATGATGATTTCCTACCCTACATTTAAGCCATCTCAATTCTGAACTGCAGGTACCAGGACCAAAGGAGAGGAAGGGGCGCATGGGGGAGTCAGGAAGCGGGAGAGAGAAGAGCGAACATAGGTGCTACTGCTGCTGCTGCTTTCCGGAAGGGTAGGGGAAGCCAGGCAGCAACCATGTTTTGCCAGTTGAGAAACCAACATCTGGGACACACCCGACTGATCATGCCTGTCATCCCCTCTGGCTCTATGCATCTCTGACTCATGGGCAGGTCTCTTGGGGCCCACTCCCTACTCCTACCCAGCCCAAGCCCACACAGGTTACCTCAGGGCAAGTGTCTATCTGGTGACCACTTGACCTGAGCGTTTTTTTTTTTTTTAATCTTATTTTATTTCAAGCTCTTTTATACATTCAATCACATCGTTTATTTGCAAAGTGAATATTCCAACATGTTTACATTTAAGGGGCCAGTGAGAAGGGACAGTGGGGGCTGCTCCCTCACTACGAAGTTGTCACCTCTGGCTAACTTTGACAATTAATATGGCCAGAGTTTACACTTAGAGAATACAGGGCTAGCAAGCTACACGCCTGGCTAGGGGATGATATTCTTTATCTGCAGACACTGAGCACCTGTGCTGTGCCAGGCTTGATGTGTTAGATATTAAACTAAGACGCTGCATGGTTTTCAAAGGTCTGCGTGTCCGTACTGCAATCCCTCTTCTATTTACAGGACACCTGTCCCAGCATTTCAGCCATTACAACATTTCTGAGGCCACACAACAGATGGGTAGAAGTCGTTTTGTGTTGCTCATGTCTTTGCTATGCTTTGTGTCTAGACAATGAGGCCAAAACATAGCAAGACTTGCCTAGCTTCTCGATGCATTTTTCTGTAAAATCTCTCTTCAAGTTGAGAAAGAAAAGGCTATAACCCCATGGTGCAATTTTAACAGGCTCAAAAGAATAGGCCCAAACTTGAGCCTGCCACAGAATTTCTTTCTTAACAAAACAGGCTGGGATTCTCTGAAAATGCAAGGGTCAGATAACACTACACAATTGGCCATTGAGAAGGTATGGCATCTATTCCTGGTTGTGCAAACATTGGACATAAAATCATTTAACAACCAACCGGGCTCACAGGCCCTGGGGACTATATCCAGGTTCTAAAATGTTTACAATGAAGTTTAGACTTGCCCACGGCAAGGCTTAGTTTCGAGAGGATAGAAAAACAAAGTGAAGATAATAGGTAAAAAAGAAACAACCATTTAGAAAGTGAGTCTTCTTTGGTCTTCAAAGAGAAAGAAAGGCTAATCTAGATTCAGGTGGAGAGTTCTAAAAAAAGTACAGTATTCCAGTGGTACTTGAGTTCGTTTCATTGTCTCAGATCCCTTGAGATTTTCAAATGGCGTTTGGGGACTCAGTGGAAACGAGGAACTGCCATTTCTTGGTGATGACTGATATGTCAATACCCCATAAACTCCCCCAACCATCTGAAAGATGGAGCTGCTTAGGAATACATTATGGGTACATGGAATAGAAGGAGATAAAGAAAAAAATTCATAAGAAGAAATAGGTCAGAGTGGAAAAAGAAATATCAACCCTGAGAGGCATTAACGCTACACACTTTGAAACTCTAGAGCTAGGAAAGTTGCCCCAAAAAAACTTAAAATAAGTCGCTGGACTCCCATGTAGTCGACCGCGGTTTGCGTCCTGGACCCGGTGGCTTAAAACTCACACCGGACGCGTGTGCGTGTGTGCCCGCGATCCCAAGAGGAGACTGGAGGAGAAGGGATTGCAGCGTGGCCATCCCCCCTGGGGGGTGATTTCTCGCTTTCTGTCTCTCTGTCTCTCTCTGTCTGTCTGGCAAGTACACGCGCCCTATAGTAAAATCCTCTCAAAAAATAAAAATATATATCATCCCCATTCCCTTGAACTTGCAACAAGCCAGTGGTAGATGCCCACACTGTGTTGCCCTCCTGAGCTCCGCCCTGTCTACATCTTCGATTTTTATACCTATGGCTCATTTCACAGGAGTGTATTTTCCTTTATAGTCTACTAATACCGCCTAAAGAATCCTGTCACGATCCTTACATGAAAATGGTTGGTCTCTAGAGAGCACATCCTATCTGGGACCATGGCTACTTTTTAACCCTTCGAACTTGGGAGGTAGCACCTATCTTTCATTTTGCTCTGAGTGGTTAAGAATTGTTCCACCCTGAAATATATTCACAAAACAACACTCACAAAAGAGCTCTCTATGAGCACACCCCAGATGTAAGCATACACAGACACTGGACGACCTTTGCGAAATTCTTTGTAACAATATTGAGGAATTTTAGTGTCACTGTGAACTTTGACGTCACCTAGTCTAACCTGTGCATTTTATAGGTGAGGGAAAAAATCAGGTATAAAGCAACAAAACAAATCAGCCACTGGAGGGGCAATTTTTTTAAGTGAGATTTTTGCTATAGGGCACATGCATTCGCTGAAGAGACAGAGCTGGAGAAACAGAAAGCTAGAAGTCACCCCCTAGGAGGGATGACCACACCACAATCCCTTCTCCTCCACTCTCCTCTCAGGATTTTGGGCATACATGCAAATGTCCCCAGCGTGAGTTTCAAGCCACTGGGTCCAGGACTCAAACTGTGGTTGGCCATGTGGGAGTCCAGCAACATAACCACTACACCAGCTGCTGGTCCCAGGGAGGGACAATACTGAGAAGAGAATCTCAGCCTCCCAACTTTCTTCTAAACAACATGTTGCTTCCTTCCCACACCCCTTCCAGCTTCAAGAACACAGAGGCCTCCCTCCCTACCTTTCTTTCTCCACCAGGGTCCTTCAGGCACAGAGTAGGAAAGGTCCTTGAATTCAATGTTCACAGCTGCCCTCCGCGGCAAGGAAGAAAAGCGCTGGGCCTCTGTGAGATTGTTGTCCACCTTTTTCAGATGTCCATTGAGCAGGTCTGTCTCAGCGCTGTCCATGTTGCTGGAGACCACCTCATCCACTGAGACGCACACTGACTTGGGCTCCGTCATTGCTGCAGAGTAACTGCTAGCATTCTAGAAAACGGGGAGGAAGCAACCGGATTTGTAAGAAGTTGCATCAAGAGAAAGCAGAACATCAAGAGATTCCCCATTAGGCTTTGGGTCATTGATTATTAATAGCAATACTTCTTCAGCTTCAGGAATGCTTTGCTCCAAAGACAGATGCTTGCCTAGAGGAATTTATCTCTCATCATCACTCTTTCTTATGTTAACAAATGCTTCAGGTAAAAAGTTAAACTGATCTGTTCATCTTATTTTGAAATAATAAACTGAACCATAAAACTATCATAAATGACTCACTGCCTTAAAGAAGAAAGCATTGGTTACCATAGAAAATGATCTATTTACAGTCCACTCATTAAAAAAACCTCAATGAAGACACATGAAGCGCTGAAGAAATGTGTAACTAAAAACATTTTATTGGAAATGAGCTATTTTAGTGTCTCCCTTGTGTAATCTCATAAAAATTTCTCAAGAGCAAATAATACCACTTGAGCTGCTGAGTTTTGTGGAGGTTGGCCTGTGTACTTTACTTTTACATTTTCCAAATCACTTACAACTCTACTCTCTTACTGTTGCACTGGAGAGATGTGTATTTTTATCTATTATACAGATGAGGAAACCAAGGCACAGACAATTTAAGAGACCTCCTCCAAGTCCCACAATCAAATGAGGAGCGGAGTGATCCCAGAATCTGAGTCATCCAAAAACAGCTAGGTGTTCATTTCACTATATACGAGAGTACCTAATGCTTCATAGCTAGCGCTGGCTTTTAAAGCTTCCATCGGGAGTCAGATGAACTGTAACAGATGTGCCAAAAACCAAAAGTATTTATGCGAAGAAAGGAATATCCTTTTCTAATGGCTTGGCAATCCTGAGCAGATCAATAAGCTTCAGGTACCTCCAAAACACAGAAGAACCCTGGGGTGGACAAATATTATGCTGTAGGTTTTCCTGGCTGATCCTGAATCAAGATCGATCACCCCACCATTTCAAAAGCTAGGACCTCCCGCAGTGCTCCACCATACTGCTGACAGCACCGCCTGGTCAGGACAGCTGGTTGCTGACCCTCTTTGGTAATTTGGGCCATTCCAGCTACCATAAGATTGGAGAGATACAGCTTTGGTGTTACTTGTTCAGAAGAATAAACACATCATATTTTTTTTTCTCCATAGGTTTGTTAAATATTTCTTTAGAGTTGCTTGCTGTTTGTCACTATTATTTCTTATCAAAAACTGAAAACAAAACCAGAAACTAGAACTGTTCCAAAAAAAAAAAAAAAAAAAACTCCCCACAATCCCCAGGAACTCAAGTGGGGCAAAAATGACCCCTCACTAGAATGCCCTCTGGAGGGCACATGACTACAACACTAAGGAGCTGGCATTGCTCCCTTAATGGCATTGAAGGGTTCAAAGGTTATGTCTAGATGCAGAGGTTTCAAATGCTTAAAACACAAAAAGAGGGATGAGGAGGAAGGCGCGGGTGGGTATTCTGGATGTGTTGAAGACTGAAAATGTAGCTTTGCCAGGTAAGAAAAAGATGCACACACACACACCTACCACACACCAAACACACACCACACAAATGCCACTCACACACGTATACAACAAACACACACACATCCTTCCCAGGCATTTCCCACCTCTGAAAACCATAACTGAACCATCCATAGCTCCCTGTCTGTCACACGTGTGGGCAATGACACAGACACAGGGCCCTCTGTCAAAGCCGGTTCAGTGGCTGCTGGCCCTGAGCCTGTCAAACGTTCCAGATGCCAACCTCAGTCGGTTCACGCATTCCCCAACAAAGTCAGGAGAGGCTTGGTTTTGTCTGACAAGAGGCTCCTCTGGGTTCTGGAGTGGTGATATCTCAGGGATCGCAGGAGGAGACTCAAGTCTGTAGCCTCTGCACTTACACGTCTGTCAGTCTGTTCCCAGCAGCTGGGAAAGCGTGGGCAGCCTTGGCTTCTGCTCTCAGGGCAGGCACTGAAGGTCATGCCTGCCCCTTCACCTGCCTTTGGGGCCACCTGCTGCTGCCCAGGCTTCTAACCCACTCTGCCTGCAAAGGACCCCGAAACACCAAATCCTGGCTTGGGGACTGAACCAAGTTGCTGGTACAGGTCAAACCCAATCCCCAGCGTCCATGCTCAGCCCCTCCTGGCTACATACATGGAAAGGGACAATGCACTGATTTCTACCATGACCTGCTGGCAGCCTTGGGTGCTAACCTGGGCTGCCAGCGGCCGCATGTTCAGGCAGGAGAGGATGTGGGAGGTGACCCAGTAACTCCTCACCAGTTGTGGGTCCCCTTCAACCTCCACTCGTAGGATTCCAGCTGCCATGGGCCATCTCCCAGGGCACCACCACAGGTATGCAGCCCTGAGAAAGCATGGTTTGGTGAAACCCACACTGACACAAGAAAGAGCCGCTGTCACTCCATCCGGTCTGACTTTCCCCACTAGACTCATTCAGTACCTCACTCACTTGTTCACTATTCATTTCACCAATTGAACAGCAGATGAAGTCCTGGTGTCAGCAGTCAGCCAGAGGTGTCTAGCCTCAGAAGCTCATGCTCAGGATCAGGCCCCAGGCAAGAAAACACGTAATTCTGGCAGAGCCAAGCAGAGACTCGGGCACCTAATACAATGCAGGCCCAGAGTGTGTGTGTGTGTGTGTGTGGGGGGGGGGTCAGGATAAAGTCTTTCTGTGGAAATAAAATCTCTTTCTTTTTTTAAAAATTTTTTTGCTGCAGGGCATGTGTGCTTGCCAGAGAGAGAAAGAGAGGAAGTGAGAAAGCAACCCCTGGGAGGGGAGGGGGGCCCCACAGCAACTCCTTCTCCTCAGATTAGCACCGAGTGGGGGAGGGCGCCAGATCATGCTGCTCCCTGGGCCAGAGCAATGCAGGCAAGGAAGGGCTCAGCAGTAAGGGTCAGGGACCAGTTAGAGACCGGTCAGAGACCGGTTAGAGGCTTCGGGGCTAGAACATAGATTTGGGGTGGAGAGGGCAGGAGAACAGGGAGCTTTGGAGCAAGACGAAGGAGGTCCAAGTGGGGAAGGGTTTTGTACTTCATCTTGAGGTCTCTGGGGAGCCATAGTAGGCTCTAAGGCAGGGGATTAACAGGACCAGGAGTGCAGAATTGCAGAGTGAACTCCCAGAGCTCTGGACAGTGGGCAACAGTGGCTGTAGCCAATTGGGGATGGGGATAAATGGACAGGCCAGTGGGACAAAGCTGGGTGGGAGTGAGAGAGAAGCAGAGTCTACTTACAATTTAAAGTATTAAATAATAACGCCTCATGCGTGCCAGGTAAGTGATTATAAACAACAGTGACTATTGATCCCGCAATTGCGATGCACCTGTTAAACTCCAGTCTGTGTAGATGATGCCTCTTCTGATCTCTGCAACTCTGCCAGGGGCTATTTCCATCTCCACTGCAGAGAGGGCATCAAGACCACAGTAAACCTGCCTGATGGGCCCAGGGCCCCATGGCTGGGGAGTAATTGAGCTGGGGTCCAGCTCTGTGGGGCTACAGGCCTGTGTCCCAGTTCTCCCACACTGCCCCCTCAGTGACCCTTGAACACTGCTTATCTTTCTACAGGCAAGTCGTGGGTGCCTCTGGGTCATCCCAGGCCTCGTCTATTATGGGAAAATCCACAACGAACCGAGGAAATCATGCAATCCCACCCAAAATACACTAAGACCAAAGCAGCACTGACACGGTGTCCAGTGGCCTCACCCAATTACTAAACATATGGAAATCTATACAGCGTGAGGTAGTGGCCTCTCATGCCGAAATAGACCAGCTCTGGAAACATCCTCAGATGAGAGCAGGCGGTGATGTAGGTTACAGCTAGCTTCTCCTGAGCCTCCTGAGCTCATTAAAAATAAAGCAAACACACCTTCCCTCCCCATTTTTTTTCCTTTCACTGTTCTGTTTCTCTGTCTTTCTGAAGCACTGTCTCTGACCTCTCTCCCTCCACACGCCACTTGAGCTGCATAATGAGCTGTAGGTGAGAGTACACTCACTCATTCGTGGATGTCTTTGGATTGCTCCTGATGATCATTTGTGAGAATGTTCCCCGGGCACTAAGCAGGGCAGCCTGTGATTTGGATATCGCATATAGAGACCCTCCGCAGCTAGGGAGGGAGACTGTTGTTTCCAGTAGCTGGGAACCACCCCCAGGCCACTGCGAGGCTCGTTCACTCGTTTCCACTGGAGCTCAGAGTCAGAAGCAGGAACTCTGTCTCAGCATTGTGGGGACAAGAGCAACAGGGTAGAGCGGTCACTGGCGCAGGCATGTGGCACACAGTTTGTTCTCCCTCTCTTCTCCCTTTGGTTCACTGTTGCCACCCTTGGTACCCATCAAGTCGGTGGCCTCCTTGGTATCCTGAGCACACCAGAGGAAAACTGGGCTGCCCATAGGACAAGAACCCAAACATGGCAGCCCTAGCTAGAGGGCAGACTGCACATGGTGGTCACTTGGAAGACAGGACAGCTCCGGGTACCACCTTTCCTCTGGGAACAGTGCCGCCCCACATGTGCTGCCCAGCCCAGGGACAGGACATAGTGTCCCTGGATGCTTAGCTTGCCCTCCAAGGCACCGTCTCCAGACTTAGCTCACTCAGCCAGCACCAGGCTAGAGCCCAGAGCAGGTAGGTGCTGGAAAAGGAGAGCTTGGGTCTAGGGCATCCCCCAGGGCTCTTTGTTTATGGTGTGAATAGAATTATTTTCCCTTTTAGGCCAGCAGCCTCAGGAATCTCCAGGAGGTCTCCCATCTAAATACTAACCAGGACCAACCCAGCTGAGCCTCTAGATCAAACAAGATCATACTCATTCATATATTCATATACATAGCCAGCTGCAGTGGCATAGCAGTAGTGCCATACTGCTGTGCTTGAACCCACATAGGAAAGTCCTGAGTTCGAGCCCTGTGGTCTCCCTGGGCAAGCACAGGTAGATGCCTGTGATCAGGGCTGGCTGAGGCGGACGAGGGATGCTGCATGAAGACTCTGTTGGGGGTGCCCCCCCTCTCTGAATAAATATACTGTTTTTAAAATTGCAAGGTTTTCAGGTGGGAAAATTATTTTCAAACAAAACAATGTTCCCTGACAAAATGAGACCAGCCACTAGCTACTCCATGTGAGAACAAAACATTTGAGCTCTGGGGCTGTATCAAACCATAACATAACGTTCAAAAACATCTGGGTATAAAAAAGTTGTATATTAAAACATTCTGACTCATTATTTTTCCACAGGTACAAGCCACCTTTGCAGCTCTAAAAGGACTTCAGTTACCCAGCATCTAAAACAGCAGAAACTTTCTCTACCCGCAGCTAGCATCAGTAATCCCCTTAATTTTCTATTATCCACATAATGTGGGAATCCCAAATAGACAAACATATGCAAAAAATAGGAATTCCCAAGGGTTATCCAGTCAACAAGATAAAACGAATGTCATGAGGAGGGGATGGGCTTTTACACTCATTCATTGCCTTGTGAAAGAAGCGGGGTGGTACAGACAGAGCAAGCTTAGGGATGCAACTGGCTGGGGGACCCCAGCGCTGGCTCTCCCCTCCCTTGCCCGTCACCTTACGGTATCTGCGGCCCCATTTTATCAGTTTACACAAAATCATTATATAATGAGCTGGCGAGGCCGGGTATGTTCTACAGTAACCTGTTTGGAATCAGAGGATGCAGTTGTCAGAGCAGAGCATGCGCAGAAGCCCGGCTACACTTTTTTTTTTCTTGAGCTCAAGGCAAGAGGTAACTATCGGTCAAATCCTGCTGAGCCCTGCTGACTTCAAACACAGGATGCTAAAAATGAAATAAGGGGGAGGGGCGAGGGTGAAACCCGGTGCTGCTATGCACCGTGGGCTTACAGCTTGTGGGAAGTAACTGGCAGCAGAGTAACTACACAGAGAGATGATAGCAAGGAGGACAAACATGAGTCGGAATACGGAATTCCTCCTGTTTGTACTTTGGATGGCCTGAAATCCAGTCCTAGTGCCTAACTGCAATGTTGGTGTGCCAGGCACAGAAATGAAGGCCGGAGGAAATGAGAGATGATTATGAGAGAGTTTGTTATTGTTTGTTTGTTCTTAATGTGAGTAAACCAGCAAGGGGAGCTTCCCAACCACTCCTGGAAACAGCACTTAGGTAATTGTGTCTAGCAAAGAATTAATCACACTCATCACCCCCTCTAGAGCTGGTACCCTCAGAAGGGCGCGCCTCTGTCCCCACCCTGGGTCTGCCTCAGGCGCGTGCAGAAAGGCAGCGGGCAGATACCTAGCCTTGCCCCGCCTGTCTCCTGGAGATCCGGGACAGGCTGCCTTACGGAGCGCTGGTCAGCTCAGGCTCCTGCTCTCGGGGATCACCCCTCTCTTGGGTTCTCCCAGACCTTGCCCAGCTCTCCGGAGGGTGGCACGGTAAGACTCAGTTCCCTAAGCCCCCAGCCACGCGCGCGGGTAGAGAGATGGGACCCTCCCCTCCTGCGGACTCCGGGATACGGCCCCTCCTCAGTGAGTCCCGGGTCCCCAGGACCCTACTCCACTCAGTCGGAAGTGGGCCAGGTCAAGGCCATCTGTCCATTTACGGGGCTGGTGGATGCCTCCTGCCCCATCCTGGCCCCTCCGCCTTCCCTGCGTCCTCAGCTAGTGCCAGGAGCATCCCAGGGCTCCAAAAGGTCTGGGCGGGAGGCGACTGGAGCCAGGCACCTTTATGGGGTGCTCTGGGTCAGCGCCCAGAGGACGCGTTCGCAGGGAGTGGTGTCAGGGCAAGCGTGTGGGTCTTTGTGTTTCCTGCTCTCCTTGAAAATAAAGCCAAGCCCGGCGGTCGAAGGATGCGCTCACTCACCATGGCGGTGCCGACCGAGAAAGCGGCCATCAGACAGGCCATGCCCCGGGGGCGGCGGCAACAGCGGCGGGGACTGGGCTGCAGGCGGCAGGGACGAAGCTGCTGGGATGAGATGGCGGGGACGAAGCTACGCTCGCTCCTGTCTCAGCAGCTGCGCCCGCTCCGGCTCCGACTCCGGCTGGGGCTCGGCTCAGGCTGGGGCTCCGGCGCCGGCCCCGCCCCACGCCCGGGATTGGAGGGCCCCGAGGGGGCGGGCGGGCCGGCAGGTGCGCGTGCTCTTGTTTTGTTCCTGCTGGAGGGCAGTTGACCAGGTCCTAGATGTTCAGGTTCTAGAAGCAGATCGCAGCTGGTCCAAGCTTCCCTGGGTCTGGCAGGCGCCCTAGACCTTCTCTATCCAGTCCGGGGCCCTGGAGTCCAGCACTCTTAGGGTGGGCCAGCATGGCCCTGGCTGAGCCTGCGGGGCGTTCTACCGGCAACGGTGTCCCCCGGCTGGGAGGACCACTGCCTCCTAGACCGAGGTGCCTGTACGAATGGGGCCAAAGGGAGGGTTGAAGGTCCATGGGTTTCTTTTTTCTTTTCTTTTTTGTATCTACCAGATAAGACCTTGGGGACTAAAGAAGGGATGACTGCTCCCACGGTCCTCAATGCAATTGCGGCTGTGGGGTGTCTCCCGCAATGGCAGCACGTGCATGCTAACAGGCCACATTGCCAGTCACTATGCCACACGCTGGGTAACAGAGATGCTAGACAATGATGCCCAGGCCAGCGGTCCCTCACCTCCAACCCACCCCAGTCAGAAAAAAGAAGGGCTCATTTTTGCGAACACAGGAGTTACCAGTACCTGGCCCATAGCTGTGTTCATGTGACTTCACAAGGAGTGACACTCAGGGCACCCTCTCATTTGGCCGCAGACTGGAATATCAGATGACCTGGCGTCTGCTAAAGCCTTTATTATATGTAAGTGGAGACATTTCCTCGTAACCATAGTTACAGGCATTCTTTAGTCTCAATCTCAGAAACTAATGCTTTTGTTCAGTTGTTTGCATGTTGGAACCCAAAACAGGGGTACAGCTCTGGCACACCTGGGTCACCCCTCCAGGCCTCAGGTGAGTGGCACAGCTTTATGCCTGCAGATCTCCCTCACACCCTCAGGTCTGATGAGCACTCAGTGGACATAGACAAGGCAAGATTGTGAGTTGAAGAGGGAGAGGCCCTGGTTTTGTCTGAACAGTTTCTCCTCAGAAGTCGCAGTGTCACCTCCATCTTGTGCTTGGCTGTGATGAAGGAAATCTGACTGCTGCACTTCCACATGTCACGCTGTGGCCACCAGGCCCAGAAGGCCATGTGGTGCTTAAGTGTACTGGACAAGGAGGTTGACAAAGCTTGAGTGTTCTGGAAGGAGAGCCCAAATCCACAAACCTCCTGGGGGGACAGGCCAAAGGGCAAGATGAATACCTCATTTCCGAGGCTCAGGACTGGCCTACCACTTGCCCCAGGACACACAGCAGAAGAGAAGGCATGAGGCAAGACAGGAGGGGTTCTCTGCATTAGCAGGGCACGCTCGGTGACATCGGGGTGCCTGTTGCAAAGAGCACCTATTTTCTGTCCAATATTCATTCTCCTCACCTCCAGGAGCATGTCTATGATTTCCTCTGGGAGTTCTCTGTCCCACGATTTGTGCAAACTTGACCGATTTTCAGCTCAACGTAGGCCACTGGCGTCAGTCGCCCCGAGGCCCCCATCTAGTCTGGCGTACTGGTTGGACAGGAAGCAGATGCAAAATGATACTTCCTGAGATGCCGGGAATCAACGGGGACAGTATGGAGCCTGAGAGGAAGGCAGAGACGGATGACAGCAGTACACTGGGTTCTCATTGACATCACTCGAGCTGCTGGATTTTCAGGCCTCTGAGAGGATCTTCACTTACCCTTTCATGCATTGGGGTAAAAACAGTCTCAACCACAGGGGAGACCACTCATGAAAGTACTTTCCCCTGCACACAGCCTAAAGCAAGGGCCCTGCTCTAGTCCTCAGTAGTGTCACTCCTCTCATACCTATCAGGGAACAGGGCAATGGCAGAGTGAGATGGAGCTAAGACATGTGAATCAGGACTCGTGGTTATAAGTGACCGAAACCAGCCCCTGCTGGCCAGAGCTAGGGATATGCATTGTCTTTGGGAACAGAACGCTTCAGGGAGCACTGATTTTGGTCCATACTGTGCCCTTGGCCCTTAGTCTCTTGCTGTCTCTGCAGCTCTGCCTTTCCTGTGCTGGTATCCCCCCGCACTCCCTTTCCCAGCAGGCAGGCTGCTCCCCACCCCGCACTCCCTTCCCCAGCAAGCAGGCTGCACCTCCTGGTCCTCAAGTCTTGCATCCTATTGGCAATCAGCCACTGGGCCCAGGAGGTGCCAAATCCTGACAGGCTTACCCTTGGTCATATGGGACAAAACAGGAAGGTTAGCCCCATTGGAAACATGCAGAAAGACTGGCCATACAGAGACTTTGCCAAGGCCACTTTGAGGTGTTCTGAGCAGAAGTGTGGGTGCCAAGAGGCACTGTAAGAGAAGCACACCACAGGACCATTCAGTACAGACTCAGCCAGGAGAGGAGTTTCTGCAAAACATCACTGACAATTGGGCCAGGCTGGGTTTGAGCACTCATGGTGGGAACCACTTGCTCCCCCAACAGGCAGCTCATTCCATTACTAAATGGTTATCACTGGGAGCAAGCTGTCCCTGTGTCAGATTGAGCTCCCTTGTACTCTGACTGCTCTGTGTTCACAGCGACATGGAGCTTGTTAGCTCCCTTCCATATATTAGACCCTGGTTAGTCAGTGTCTGGACCAATTGCCCCAGTCCCTCCAACGTGGCTTAACAGAAAATGCCCTTTCATCTTCCTTCCCCTTCCCTAGGAAGTACAGAGAGGTGTTTGCTTTCTTGGTTTTTTTTTACAACCTAAAGTCCTGACTCTGCAGGTTGAATTTCCAGCCACTTAAGAGCAGAATGTGGTGGCACAATAGCCTGTAGGAGAGATGGCTATCCACCCTCCTGGTTGCCTGTGGGAGGGCTGTGAGAAGAGCTCCAGGAAGGAGGTTGCTGCCTCTTCTATAGCCCAAGTCAAGGGTAACACTGTGGATACCCGTTACTCTCATGACTGGGAAGCAAGTCCTGCGTGAGGTATACCTGCTCTGACCTGGAGACTGGCATCTGGTCAGGTTGGCCCCTGCCCTTGTCGGCTTTTTGAGCTGGGGGGAAAGAGAGTGAATGTATGTCTTGGTCTATTCATGCTTCTAGAACAAAATACCTTAGACTGAGTCATTTATACACAGCACAAATGTGTTGTTTACTGTTCTGGAAGCTGGAAAGACCAAGATCAAGGCACCGGCAGATTCAGTGTCTGGTGAGGACCTGTGACTATAGATGGCCCCTTCTGTGTCCTCACATGGTAGAAGGGGAGGAATCAGTCTGTTTTCTAAGGCCCTAATGCCATTCATGACTTCATCACTTGCCAGGACCCTTCTCTTAATACTATCACATGGTGTTAGGTTCCCACTTACTAATTTGGGGGCAGAGGTCTTAGTCCATTAATAGCGCTATGACAGAATGCTCAGATAATTTGTAAAGAAAAGAGCTTTACTTGGCTCTTATTCTGGTGGCTAGAAAGTTTAAAAGCATGGGGTCAGCATGTGCTCAGTGCCGGTGAGGTCTGTGTCTGCTTTACCCTCTGGCAGGAAAGCAGAAGGCCAGTGGGCACGTGCTGAGAGAGAGTCCAGTGGCAACCTATAAAAACAGGAAAGAAAAAAGAAAGAAAAGTAGAAGAAAAAGAGCGTTGTGGGAAGAAAGGAAGACAGGGAGGACTTTAAGAAGAATAGGTGCAGAGGAAACCATTCCTTAGCCCTTCAAGGGAAAGGACACTGGAGGGGGGAAATCTAAAGGCCCAATTACCAGGAGGAGGCAGCGTGGGCTAGGCAGGCAAACCAATTGGGTGCTCTCTGCAAGTCGGCTCATTTAGAGAAACAGGTATGTTTAATGTCCACAGTGTGTTTGATTCCCATTTTCCCAGCTCTCTTGACTTTGGTGGTGTCCTGTCTCCAGTGTCCAGATATGAACACCCCCATGGCACCCCCTGGAGGTCAGCCCCACTCTAAAGAGGAGCCCTTTCTTCCCTGGCACAGGGACAGCCTGTGAGGAAAGTAGGATTGTGAGATGGAAAAGCAGAGAGGGAGGGTGGTGCAGGGTGGAGGCAGCAGTGGGGAAATGCCCAGAAGGCCAAGATGGAAAGATGAGATTAATGAAGGATGTTTTCAGAGAAAGAAAAATGCAAGCAAATATTTCGTAAATGAAGTTAGGAAAAGGTTAGTTGAGTACCACAAACAGATTGTTTCTGTTTTCGTCCACTCGCACATAACAGAGAGTGGCTGGGAAAGCTCTAGGAAATCGTTGCTTCAAAGGAAGAAAGAGGAAATGCTATCTGGAATGGGCTGACCTTCAAGTTGAAGGTTAGGACAGAACTCAGAGACAGACCTTGGAAAACTACTGGAGGCTTCCTCCCCACACATCAGAAGCCTCCCGTCAACCTGTAAATGGTCCCCTCCTAGGAAATAACTGGTAGCCTGTGGGCCACTTTTCCTCAGGAATAGCCCTCTCCCAATACCATGTGAACAAGCCGAGAACACAATGGCCTCCCCCAAAACCAGTCAGAACAGCCACTGCCAAGGGTTTGGAAGGGACTTGCAAACCAAGGGCCCAAAAAGATCTCGCTGGGACTCTCCCAGACTGTAAGAAGAAGGTGCTTTCTTTTTCTTTGGGGCTCATAGAGCGTAACAACAGAGGCTTTTTTCTTGCCATAAGGAGGATGTCTAAGTGAGAATGAAGTGGATGCCCTGGGGAAGTGGAAGAGAGGACAAAGCTCCTTCATCCCCTCAGCCTCATCATCTTCCTGAGTTCAAATTTGTTCATGGCCCTTCCCAAGAGCCTGGGCAGCCCAGTAGTGAGTGCTGGGCCCAGCCGACTCCTTAAATAAACAAAGGCCTCTCAGTGCCCCATAATCCCGGCTATGAAGTGGCCTGATAGTCATGTGTGCCCCTTGGGATGGTTTTGAGAGTTGAGTCATATGTGTAAACTGTGTCTGGCTCATGGTGGGCATCTTACAGGTGACGGCTGTCATTGTTATCATT